AGAGGAGAGGCAGGGACGGGGGAGCTGGCTGGGAAATGGGGGTTTGGACCTGACCGCGAGCTGAGGGAGAAATTGACCAGCAGAGGGGGTGAGAGTGACCACTGTTGAGGGCTGAAATCGAATCAGGACCTGGCGGCGAAACTGACCAGGAGATTGCGGGTGTGGAAATCGTCGCAGAGGTCACCAGCCAGAACCGATACTGACGCAGCCAAGCCAGGGAAGAGGCAAGGGAAGGGACGCGGGTCTGGCCTCCCCTCCCCAGGGGACTAACCGCGGGATGGGGGAAGGGGATTGGGGCAGCTGGCCAGGGGAAGGGAGATGGTATCTGTGCCTGGCGCGTGTCCTCAGCATCTGTCCCTTTGTGACTTCTGGGGGTGGAGGCAGGGAGGGAGACAGAAATGAGAGGGGTCTCGCCTGGCCTGGCAGCCTATTAGCAGCTGCAGCTGTCTGGGGGCAGGACACTAAGAGGTTTGTGGGGGGCGGGGGGCGGGGGGGGGGCAGCGCAAGACACAAAGGACAAAAGAGCTTATGGTCACTTCCTGAGCAACACATTGTTTTCTTTCCCCGTGAGGCGGCTTGCTCAGTTCCCCTAATATTGGGGTGAGATAAGGGAGGTCAGGAGGATGGGGTTCCAGATTCCCTTCTCCCATACCCCCAGGGTGGGCGGGTGCCCATGGCTTAGATGGGAGGGAGGACCAGACAGAACTGAGAGCTGACAGTGTGTCGCCAGCTGTCCCCAGAGTGGGGCAGGGGCCATGTCTATGCCATCTTCGCCTTGCTTTCCTGGCTTGAAAAATGGGGCTTCTCAAAGGAGACCCCCAAAGAGCTGGAGGAAGGATCGCCAGAGGGAGCGAGGCATTTCCCCTGGTGGGGAAACTGAGGCACAGAGAGAGGGAAGGACTTGCTCAGAGGCCCCCTCCTCCACCCCGGCAGCTCAGTTCTGCCCGGACACGACGCGGCCCGGCTCGGGGGCGGGGCCCAGATCCAGCAGGGGCTCTCCACGGAATCAGCGGTTCTCCGTCTCCCCCCCAGTACTAGCCCCATTTTCCTAATGCGAAAACGGGGGTCCAGAGCTGAGCGGGCAAAGCCTCTAACGGCAGCGGGGCCTTTCCTGCGTCCTCCTCTTTCTCGCTTTGGCTGTGTGGCCCAACTCGAACCTGTTGAACTCGGGCCTCCCTCCTGAGGCACACTCGTACCTCCCCCCCTGCCCCGCCCCCGCCCCCAGCTCGGATCCGCGACGAGGCCGGTCCCCCGGGGACCGCTGGGGAGCACGGCGGGTAATTGTCCTGTTTTCTGTCAGCCGCAAGGCAATTCCAGGCTTGGCTTGGGGATGAGCTGTTGACAGATCTCATCAAATCCGAGTCCTCTCCCTGTCGGATAAACGCCAGTGTCTGAGGCATAAATATTGGAAAGGCGGCCTTCTAATTACAGCGTGCGTCAGGAATAGCAATGAGGGGCCCCGGGCGCGGGATCAAACGGCGTTTGACTTTTCTCCGCTTTTGAGCTGGCTTCTCCGGGGACTGCCCTCCACCCCAGGCGGGGGATGCGGGCGGGGGCGGGGATCCGGGAGGAGCGGGAGGAGGTGGACCAGAGCAGAGCCAGGCTGGGGGCCTGTGACCTCGAGGTGTGACCTTGAAGAGCCGTATGGCCGCTTGCGTTTTGGCTTTCTGATTGGGGAGAAGGGAGCAAGGGGGGTGAGGGTAGGAGAGGGGGCGCTGCAGGACAAAGGTAAGGGGTCCTGGGCTGAAGGCGCCTCCCTTCCCCCAGCGCTCTGTCCTGTTAGAGAGGCGGTTGCTCAGGGCTCACTCTGGAACCCCGCTGCACGACCTTGACCTTGCGTGGTGACCTGGGCTGTTCTCCCATCTGTGAAACGGGCGGCAACCAACAACCTCCATTGTCCGCTCAGCACTTATGGCCTGGCACGCTTTGGGGAACTTTATTTGTCGAAGATATAATTCGCAAACCCTACAATTAACCCACTTAAAGTGTGCATTTCAGTGGGTTTAGTGTGTTCACAGGACTGTGTAACCCTCCCCACTATCCAGTTCCAGGACGTTTTCCTCACCCCGAACAAAGACCCTGTGTCAAATCAGCAGTCACTTTCCGTTCTCCCCAAACCCTCAGCCCCCGGCACCCACAAACCCACTTCCTGTCCCCGTGGACGTGGCTGGTCTGGACACTCTACGCATCGTGTGTCAATGCTTCATCCTCTTCATGGCCAAATAACGTTCCAGCGTGTGGATCACAGTGTGTGCCCAGTATATGCTTGGATTGGACGGGGGGCCTCAGGGGGGACCTGGGTGGGGTCCCTGGCTGTGGGCGGTGCCTGCCTCTCTGTCCTCTGCCCCTGGATCATCAAGTCTGGGGTGGGGAAGCTTCTGCCCTCAGGAGCTCTGGACACAGGCCTGCCTTTTTAATGCATGGCCTGATGGGAAGACATGGTCTTGCCCGCAGAAGCCCCCAAGGTGACGGAGGAGACGTGTGCATGCCTTCGTGGCCTTCCGGTCCAATAGTGGGGCATGATCCTGCCATCTGAAGCACACGGTATGAGGGGGGAGGCCTGGCTCTGACTTCGGGGGCTTCTAACCTGATGGGAGAGACGTGGCCCTGCCTTTAGGGCCTCCAGTCTGATGGAGGAGACACAGCCTATGTTCAGAACCCCCAGTCTGATGGGGAGGCACGATCCTGCCCTCTGAAGCAGCCAGTCTGATAGAAGAAATATGTGCTTGCTCTCAGGGGTGCCCAGTCTAATGAAACAGACAGGGCCCTGAATTCCAGGGTCGCAGCCTGATGGAGGAGGCAGAGCCCTGTGGTCATGAATCCCCAGCCTGGTGGGGGAGGCACGGCCCAGCCCCCTGGAGGAGGCTCCTGGCCTACCGAGCTCGAGCTCGGTGATGGACGGCATAGCCTCGGATCCTGCAGTTTCGAGCCCAGGTCCTGCCCCTCACTCGCTCTCAGCCCTCGGCCGAGGAGCCTGCGCCCCACTGCAAAATGGGACAGTGACGAAGCATGTGCGAGGGAATGGGCAGCCCACCGCGGAGGGAGCCGGGTGCCATGCCTGGCCCACGGTGACAGCTGGCCCCTCATCTCCTCTGTGGAGCCCAGGCTCAGGCAGCGGGCCACCCCCAACCCCAGTCCCTCTGATATGCTCCAGCAGCCAGGCAGCTCCCGGGGGAGTTGATGGAGGAGATTCTGGATGAGGCCTGACAGCTCCCAAGGACCAGATGACAGACATGGAGCTCGTGGGGGAAAAGGAGTCTGTCAGCAGTAATGGGGGAAGGGCAGGCTCTGGATGATGGGGGGGCAGGGGAGGAGAGGGGAAGCGGGGAGCAGGCAGAGACTCAGGAGGGTCTGCACACACGACAGACCCCAAACGCGTTGTTGTCACTCTGCTTGCTCGGCCCTGGGAACCCCCACAAGGGAATTGGGGGCCAGGAGCAAAACCGCTCCCAGGTCACGGGTGGGGGAACAAGGCAGAAAAGCCTCCAGGGAAATAAGAATGAATGAGACTCTTCCAGCGGCAGGTAGCAGAGCGGGGAGGGGTGGCGGAGCTGGCAGCACCCGGCCTCCGGGCCCGGATCCCCTCATCTCTGAATGGGGAGACACCCACTCGGTCAGGCTGCAGACATTTATGGAGCACTTACGAAGTGCCTGGGTGGCCTTAGGTGCCGGGGACACTCATGGACATGATACATACCCTTGCAATTTCACCGCCGATGAGGCCCCTGCCAGGTCGACCCTTGGGTAGCCCTCAGCGGCCCCAGCCTCCTGGTGGTCACGGCCATGTGCAACACCCTTGTGTGTCACGGGGGCCTGAAGCTGGCGTCCAACCAGCAGAACATGGCAGTCGACATGCCTTCCAGGACTCTCCTCCCGTGCTGGAATACCGAAGCCAGTGGACGGAGGCGTTATGTAGGCGAGGAACCGGGGTGGCCTCTGGCCAAGAGCCCATGCATGAGGAACCGCACTCTGCTGTCCCCGACGAGGGTGAGCTTGGGAGCGACCCTGACCCAGTCAGGCCTGCAG